GACTCCACGACTCTGGAGGAACTGCAAGATAATGTCTACACTGGTCATCGGGTTAGGGATTAGGTGTTCCTTTGCATTTGCTTTTTGTTTTGATGAACTAACGCTCGGAGCATGATAATGACTTCAGCCTGGTAAACAAGCCTGGAGACGCAATGGCGGGCTGCAGCTCACGTCGCCACAGCTCACCGAGAGGGAACACGCATTCTCCCCGTAAACAGGGGCGCTCCGGAAGTCCTGTGTAGGGAGCGGTCCCCTGCGGCCTCCCCCGGATTGCGCCGGGTCGCCGGGTCTGGGGGGCCCCGCAGGGGGCGGGCGGCTACGTCCCTCCCGTGAGCCTCCCCCCCGCCGGGCGGGGCCCCCCGCAAGCCGGGGTGCACTCAGCACCGGGGGTCGGAACCCGGCTGGTTGGAGGAGGGGACCGGCATTCAGGGCCCTTCTGCTGCCGCGCGCTCAGCGTTTGGGCAGGGCCAGAGCTGGCGACCCCGTCCAGGAGAAGGGCGCGCGGGTTGCGTCTCCAGCGGTGCAAATCCTCTTGACATGGGATGGTCCCCGGTCTCCTTCCCTCCCGTCCAGACTGTGTTGAAGGAGCGAGGTGACCTGGGTGAACGACACCTACTAGCAGAGCCCGGGGGACTGTCTGTTGTCCACATTCTGGATTCCTCCGAGCCTCAGGGCGTCCATCTGACTCAATGTGGCGCTGTTTTAGGGCACAGAGGGAGGCCGTACGGGGGTGCGGGTGAAAGGGTTAATGTGCAGGGACTGGGCACAGTTGGTTTGAGGAGTCTCTGCCTTCAGTGACCTGCAGGTTAAGGAGCCAGGGGTTCTAGCATGGTGTCCCCAAGAGGAGGGGACTGGAAAACTGGAGGGGATGCAAACTCGGGCTGAGTTTGAACTGTGTGAGTCGCCTGACCTCCCTCGGTCTCAGGTGGCGCCTCAAAGAGGTGTGACAGGACCGAGGAAGTCGTTTCAAACCTCTCAAAGCCCTCTCCGAAGTGTAAGGAAATCCCATTTATTTCCCCATCTGGACGAGCCCGGGGCCTCACTGGGGCCAACGCCCGCGCGGCATCTCGGAGCTCCCTGGACCGCTTCCGTGGGGGGACATTCCCTACCTCGTGGCTTGGTGAGAGCCGTTCCTCGACAAGTCCCTCCTGTGGATCTTCTAGACAAGCCCAGTCCCCGCCGTCGGGCAGAGGACCCAACAGGTCAGGACCCCTCTGATCCCGCGCGCGGTCGGACTCTGGACCCCGGACTCCATCCCCAGGTCCCCGCACTGTCCCCGGCCCTTCGGAGCACCCACCTCTCCTTCCGGGACCTCCCTTGCCAGAGCTCCCTGGACCTGGAGGACGCACTTGGGGTGGCAGGTCCCGGGAAGGTGGGTGGAGTTTCGAGAGCTCAGGAGGCTAGGGACCGAGCGGTCCTCCTGAACCCCTGAGCCAGAGTAGGGGTACGGCAAGGGGTTCGTGGGAAAGAGATGGACACAAAATTGGGAGACTCGGGGAATTGTACACGCTGTGGCAATAGTACAAAACCCCTGACCAAACGTGTCCGTATCTCTAGTTTCCTGGGAACTAAATTGCTGCCCTCGACCAGCATCTCCTCGCTCCTCAGTACAGAGAGGCCCACCTTTGTAAGTTCTCGGTCTTTCTCACTAGGGCGTCGCCAGCTTTTCCGGACTGGGTACGTTTCGTTCAGACTCTGCCCAGCCATTGCGCCTTAGGCTGGGGAAGGTCCTCTCGGCCCTCCCCCCACCCCACGCCCGGGTCAAGGGGCCGGCGTACCCGCGCACGCAGGCGGGTAACCCTGCCCTGCACCCGGCTGCGCTGCCTCCCTTTCGCTCCAACAGTCGCCGAGGGCCACGCTTTTTTTCCTCGGGCAGGATTCTTTTCCCGCCCTACAATAGCCGGCCCCGGCCAAGTGCCCTCTTTGGGCGCCCAGGCCCGGGCACCGCCCCAGGAGACGCCGAGGCGACCCTCGTTACCTGCGTGCTGCCGGGGCCCGGCAGATCGCGGCTGCAAGCTCGCCGGAGCAGCCCCAACTTCATTTCCTCCCCCTAGAGGCACGTTTCCCAGAAAAGCCTCCCCCCGGCCCCCTCCCGCCTTCCCTACGGGACCAGGAAAAGTCTCAATCTCCATAGAAAAGGTTCCATTTAAGTGCCCGGGGTGGGGGGGGGCGCAGTGGGCGGGGCAGAGGTGGCGGAGAGGATTGAATTTCTCTCCGCGGCTAACCAGCCACCGGCGGATAAAGCGCAAGTTTGTGCGCTTCGTCCACCAAGGGATTGCAAACCCAGAAAACAAAGTGTCCAGTGAGATGCGGAGTTTGCCGAGATTTCCCTGCAGATGGGTTTGCGGAAACGCCTGTGATGTGAACTTTCTGCAGATTGTGTATGGAGGGAGCTGAGGGAAAGGAGGAAGGGGAGCGGGGCGGAGAGGGGGCAGTGTGAGCGTGAAATGTGCCCGGGTGTGTGTGTGTGTGTGTTTGGGGAGGGGGGGTTGTGTGCCCAGGCGCGGGGGCGTCACAGCGGGGCAGAGCAAGGCGTCGGGAGCGTCCCGCAGGCTAATTGGTTTGAGACGTTCTGCAAGCGCTGGAAAAGGTCGTTGAAGGAGTTCGCTGCACACACACAAAATAATAATCTTAAAAAAGAGTGCCGGGCATGCGCACAGAGAGGATGCCATATTGGAATGAGGCTGTAGTGGGAGTCGGAGGACCGGAGCGGGCGCGCGAGGGAGGCGGCGGGCGGGGAGCGAGCGAGGCTGAGCGAGCCGGGGCGAGGCAGAGCGAGCGAGCGAGGCCGGCGGCCCCCCGGCGGCGCCCGAGGCCTGGGTCCACTCCGAGGGGAGGACGAACTTCACCAGGTAGGACGCCGCGCCGGCCGCTGTCCCCGCGCCCAGCCCGCCCGGCGAGCAGACCTCCGGCCCGCAGGTTGAGTGCGCCGGTCAGCTTCTTTTTTCCAGCTTCGGGAAAAAGGGAGGATCGGGCCAGCCCGGGCGTGGGAGGCTTGAGGAGCGGGTGCCGAGGGAGAGAAGCGAAAGAGAAGAGCTGGAGGGGAGAGCGGCAGCCCTAGAGCAGAGCCCCAAACTCCGCTCTGCGCTCCCGGGTTGTCATTTTTGCTGCTCGCGTCCCCTTCCAACAACCTCGTCCCTCGGCTTTGAAAAGCCCGGCCTTGCGGGAGACCGTCTGTAGTTGCAAAGTGTCCTCCTCCTCGGGTTCGAGCTGTCCCCTCCCGCCGCCCACCTTCCTCATTTGTGCGCTCATTTTAGCGACGCAGCCGCCCTTGCTAACCCCACGCTCCTCGGTCTCTTCCCTTGTCGGGGTCTCTTTCTTCTTCTTCTTATTTATTTTTTTTTTTTGGTGTGTGTGTTGGGGGCGGGGAGGGGGAAAATGGTAGGGTGAGGACTGGAGACCAGCCATCAGGGGTGTTAAAAATCGTTTACACATTCGGAGTCGCCCTCTTGGAAACATTTGTCTGTGCAGCTGAAATGAAATTGTCAGTAGTAGTTTCGGAGCGTGCTCCGGCATGGATGATCTTTTTGTTCTTTTTTTTTTTTTCGCTTTAAAGTAATATCCTGTCACTTGGGGCTTTCCTGTTGTCTACTCTCATATGACCTCCTTTCAAAATTGCTAATCTGATCTAGCTTTGGAGTTTATTTTTTAAACGTGTGTGTGTGTTGGTAAAAATCCGCCAAAAAGAGAGAAAAGAAAGAAAGAAAACAACTGTAGGAACTGCTTAGATGTATTTATTGATTTTGGCCCGGGGCGGCGGGAGAGGCTGAACCGGGGACCGGTGACCCGGGGGGTGGGAAGTGCTGGATTCGCGGTGGCCGGACGCACGTCCAGAGCCCGATCCGTACTTGTGTTTTCTTGGAAGCGCTGCAACTGCGGGGAAGGAGTATTTAGAAACCCTGCCAGTTTCAATATGGCGGGCTAAGGTGGTTTTTAAAAACTGAAAATAAAGGTTTTGAGGTGGGAAAAAACCCAACCGGAGTTGCCATGCCTTAGTTTCGACTCTCTTTGGCTACTCCAGGAGCTGTTTTAGCGAATTAAATGGGAAAAAAGAGACAGAATGAGCTGCCCTAGTTTTTTCCGTGTTTCGAGTCTGCGTGTCCAGTCCATTGCTAGGGGGGGAAAGGGGTGCCGCTGGTCCAGACTGGGGCATCCGAGCGCAACTGCTGCATGTGCCTTTGGATCGGTGTGCATACTGGTGTGTGCAGTTGGGGGGGGCGGTGTCAAAGAGATACGCCCCGAATGTGTGTGTGCCTTTTGGAACCAGACTCTGCCATGATTTGACGTGACAAACTGCTGACACGTGGTGCAAAATACATGAGGGCAGAGGCAATGATTTATTTCGGCTTTCTTTGAGACGAGCTCTCTGTATGCTGGATTCTGTGCAGGTGAAGCCCAGAGTAGGCGGAGTGCGGAGGTGCTTATTTAAAGGACTAACTGTCCGCGGTATTGGGTGCAGTCGGGCTGCAGACGCCTATGGGGTTTTGTGTGTGCTGGGGGCATGCCGCACTTGGCGGTGGGGGCCTCGCGGCCGAGACGTGGGGAGGACAGTGGTGGGGCAGAAAGGTGTTGGAGCGCCGACCTAGGCGGAAAAGTGTGTAGAGTCGAAGCGAGGAGTTGCTTTTGGAGTTGAGCTCTAGGGAAGGTGGGGGATGGGAGAAGTGGTCTCGGAAGAAAGTGTCCCTTGCTTAGGTCCAGCGCGAGAAGGCTGGATCTGAGTGAGGCGTCCCCCGGCCATGGCAGGCAAGCGGGGCGGCGCTGTGGCATTGGGGTTTGAGTGGTGTCCGGGAAAGGCCGGCTTCTGGGGCCTGGAGGGTCTGGGACTGGAGTTTGGGGGCAAAGTCGGAGCCTGTAAGGGGAGGCGGAGGGGAAGCAAGCCAACCCGAGCTCACTAAGCTAGGAACAGGGATCTCCAACAGGGGTCGCCAGTGGCCAGGACGCAGCTGCCGAGCGGAGGTCGCGCGGGAGGGACCCAGGGGACAGGGGGCTGTGCGGCGGCTATGCGTGGTCCCCCGGGCCTGGCGAGGGCAGGTTCTGGGGACCTTCTCTGGGCCGGCGACCCTGATGGCGCCTTGGCCAAGTGCGCCGAGACGTGTTTAAATCTCAGGGTTAAAAAGATAGTGTGTGGGCTAGGTCTGTAGTTAGCGCAGTAACGGGCTCTAGGGCATTTACAGGGGCCTAGAGGGGCGATCCATAGGGTCAGCTCGTCCTCCCCCCTTAGACAGACGCCGCGCTGTCGGAGAGGCCTCTCTCTAGTAGTGTCCGGCGGGTGGGGGCCCAGGGGAAGCGACACTAGGATTGGAGACCCCGCGGCAGATTTTCCTTCCCACCTGGGTTGGCGGGGCTGAGAGATCGGCGACACTCCGGCCAAGACGGTCGGTCCCCCGGGCAGAGCGCGCGGCGCGTCCCCGGCCCTTGCAGCGTGCGCGGCTAGCGGGTCCTCCCGGGGACAGCTTTCCCGTGGGCTTCGCTGAAGTGGAAACCAGCCTAAAATGGCTCTGTGCTTGTAAACTGCAGTTTCAGCCGGGAACCCCTCCCCTCGTCCTCCTGACGTCGCCGCTGACAAGCGCACAATTCACTCTAACGCCCCGAAACCCGCGATTTTGCACCGAGCTGTGCCGTGGAAGCGAATATACAACCGATTACAAAGAACATTCCTCAGGATTCTCGCAGGGCCCAAGTTTCCCTTTCTTGTAGGAAGGAGCGGGAGGAGGAGGGCGCGGCGGGAGCCCGGCCGACCACCGCCCCGGAACCGGGGCTGGGGCTGGGGTTGCGGCTCGGGGCTGGGGCCCTTTCCGCGTAAAAAACCGAGGGAGGTGCCCCGGGGACGCGGATGGTGGCCGTGCGCAGCGATCGCCACCGCCAGGGGCGCTTGGCCTTGACGGCATCTGTGGTGTCCGGAGTGCAGAGAGACGCCGGGAAGCCTGGGAGACCGTTCCCAAACTTCTGGAGACCCGCTTGCAGTTTCGCTTTCGGAATTTTCGGGATCTTTGGGTTTCTAGAGTTGGGTGGGATTCCGGGAAGAGCAGGGCGCCAGGCGCTGGTCGTACGGATGCTCGTTCCCCTTTCGGTGCAGTCGTCAGACTTCTCACCACCCCAGCGTCCCCTCCTTTGCGTCCCCGGGTCCTGCGGGCGCGTTCCAGGTCTGGGGCACCCAGCCCCGCGCGCAGCCCCGGCTCCGGAGACCGTCGGCCCCGCACCGCGTTTTGTCGGTCTACACCAAGCAAGTGGATCCGGGGTTCACCAGGTCGGAGAAAACGCGAAAAGCGGCTTAAATTCGGCACCGCCTTCTGGGGAGGCGGTTGGGGGTGGGGAGGGAGGTTGAGCGGGTACGGAGTGGGAGGGGGGGAGGCCTCGGTGGCCAGAAGGAATTGGCCAGGCGCTCCTGTGCGATGGGAGATCTGCTACTTTCTCCCTAGTAAGCAGTAAGTTGGCTCACACGCTGCTTCCTCCCTTCCATAAGTAAGTATGTCTCAGATCCTTATTTTAGCTAGGCGCTGGGACCAAGCCACCTGCCCGAAAGGGGCGAGAGGCACATCCACGCACACCAGAAACCCTCCCCTCCCCTACCAAAGTTTGGACTGTGCAAAAGACCCGTTCCCCTGGCGGTGTAAAGCCCTGCCCAGCGGGCAGGGTGATTGATTCAGCAGCCCCTACCCTAGAAAAGAGTGCACCCGACCACCCTGCTTTGATGTGTGTTGTTCTAGAAGTGCTGGCTCTCAGAGAAGTATTTCCCGCTAGGGTTCCAGCACCTTGAACCTCCAACAGCCCATCCTGCTGGGACCTGAATTTCACTCAGGATGGGAGTCATTGATCTGAGAGAGCTTTTCCTCTTCGTGTTTTCTTGCAGAAATCATAGATGGGGTTTTTGTTTTGTTTTTTAAACCTTTTTAGGTATAAATCCCTAGGTTCATGATTCTTGCTTAAAAGCAAACGAATAAACCAGAATAGGTTCCTGAAGAAAGAGGAGAGCCTGGGTGATCTCAGGGGAGCACTGAAGGTTTATCAAATCCCATTTCTGCCCCCTCTAGCTGAGGGGCATTGTTCACCTTTCTCCATGTGCTGGTGCGCACGAAGGACTTACCACCTCTCTGTGTTGGAAACACTGCTCTGAGAAGTAAGTGAATGAGGGTTCCATTTTACTGGCACAGGGTGCTTTGGGGGTTGAAGAACCCTGTGCAATGGAAATGCATAGTTTGCAGGGCCTGTACTTATACTGAAAAGTTTTTGTCCGGGTATCCAAGTGGAAGAGTAGTTCTTCTCCCTCCTCCCTGTTGTCCTCCTTCTTCTTAATAGTTTGTACAGAATGGTCCACTGTGGGGATTTGAATGACTTCCAGGTCTAGGGTTCTCAGCTTGGACCTTTGTCTGATAGTATTTCACTATTTGGAACTTCTGGAGTTCACGACTTAACAGTATAGTGGTCATAAAGAAGAGTTTATAAAAGGTTCTTGTCCCAAAATGAAATTAGGATTATGTAGTTCAAGGCACATTCTGTGTTTTTTATAAACTGTTCTTATGTCTACCTTGCCCCAGTACCGACTTATTGTCCCTATTCTACAAATACGGAAAAAAAAACTAGGGAACTTGTCATAACAAACCAACCTGTGCATTCCTTGGTGACCCAGGATCTAACCACCTGATTTCGTAAGGAACATTCCTGGCAGAGCAGAGGACAGAATCAGGAGGCCTGGGTTCTACTTCGGAGATATTTCTGTAGAGCCTTGTGACCTTGGACCACTTACGGCATTTTTTTCTGAGCCTCAACTTCCTTATCTGCAAAATCAGTGCATCAGACTGGAGTCTCACTCAGATCTCCGTGCTTCTGTTTGGGGGAAAAAAATCAAGTGATTCAACACATCTTGGTAGGCGTGCTCAAGTGATTCATCTGTCAGACCCATGCCTGCAAAGTACAGTGAAAGTAGTACCGGCCTTGGTGACTGAGGCTCAAGAAGATGTTTGTAAGGGCAGTTGGTGGGTTGTAGTTCCTTCTGCAGGGGCCAAGTGCTGACATTGTTGAGGGAAAGAAGCTGTATATGGATGGGGGCAGGCGTCGTTCATGCCTTGCAAAAGTGAGGTGTAGAGATGGAGGCACATACAAATGTAGCCTTCATATATAATCTTTTAGCTTTTTAAAAAGAGATTTATTTCTTTATTTGAGAGAGAGAGAGAGAACGAGTAGGGAGGACAGAGGGAGAGGGAGAGAGAATCTCAAGCATACTCCGTGCTAAGCGGGACTCCATCCCAGGACCCTGAGATCATGACCTCGAGCCAAAACCAAGAGTTGGATGCTTACCCAACTGAGCCACTCAGGTGCCCCAGCCTTCGTGTATAATCTTTATAATAGCATGGGCTGGGCTAGATCATTGTGGTTTTGAAAAGAAGTCATAAAGAAGTACCTGATTCAAGTATGCTTTAGGAATTCATAGGACTAGAAGGGACTATTCCACATAGCCCTCTATACCCCACCATTGCAGACAGGGTGAGTGCTGGGACTTCATTCTGCTAGTATTTATAGTGTGGGTGGGTAACTGTGGCCTCCTGGTAGCCTAGGGAGTAAAAGAACTAGATCTGATGTTGCATTTACCATTCCTGCTCTTCATTTTATTTTTTTAGTTTTATTTTTTTGAGGTTTTATTTTATTTATTTGTCAGAGAGAGAGCACAACCAAGGGGAGTAGCAGAGGGAGAGGGAGAGGCAGGCTTCCCACTGAGCAAGGAGCCTCATTTGGGACTTGATCCCAGGACTCTGGGATCATGACCTGAGCTGACTGAGCCACCCAGGTGTCCCCATTCCTGCTCTTTAAGTTGGGCCACTAGGCAGTACAGTTGACCCTTGAACAACATAGGGGTTAAGGGCAACAACTACCCCCCCCCGGCTGAAAATTCTTGTGTCGCTTGACTTCCCAAAAGCTTAACTACTAAGAGCTTGCTGTTGACTGGAAGCCTTACCAATACTGTGAACAGTTGATTCATACAGATTTTATATTTGTATTATATGCCATATTCTTACAATAAAGTAAGCTAGAGAAAAGAAAATTATTAAAATCCTAAGGAAGAAAAAATATATTTACAGTAGTATACTTTATAAAAAAAAAAAATCCATATGTCAGTGGACCTAGAGTTCAAACCTGAATTTAAGAAGCAGCTATACTGCCTCTCTCTGTAAGACTAGACATGTCCTAGACAACTCCTAAGAAAAATGATCTTGTTGGCTAAAACAAGTGTTGGCTGTGTTGAAGTCCGTGTAAACGAGGCAGGATTGTATATTGTAAATAAGGGAAGGTATTCAGTTTAGAGCTTGCAATACAACAAGGGATGTTATAGGATTCATATAAAGTCACCGAACAAGACCCTGAAGGATCGGTTTTGCAGGATCATGTCAGGGTGTTCAGATGTAAAGATGCCAGCATCACACTCCCCATCTGGTTAGCCCCTAGTGAATTTTATTTTATTTTATTTTATTTTTTTTAAGATTTTATTTATTTATTTGAGAGAGA